TGCTACACAGCCTGGAGGGCACTGCTACATCCAGACACCCCAACCGTTCTTCACCTACACGTGGGCACTCCTTCCTTCTTCTCTCTGCACTTCCAAAGCTTACTGTCATGGCATCAGAAGTGACATGTCTCCACATCTTCAGCATCTGTCTTTTTCACTTATCAAGGTTCAGATGACTCAGCATTCCTTCCTCCATGTTCAACAGCATTTAGGTCACTAATGCTGCGTCACACAACTTCCATCTAGTTATCCCAGACCTAAACATGGTCTTACTTGGGTATCCCGGCTGGGATGACAGCCATATATTAAACCATGCTCAGGAATGTTCCCAGTCACTGGAAGGTGATCATTTCTGCTAAATTTTGTGAGAGGCCCTAACATTTTTTTTTTTGCCCATACAAACTTGCGGTCTGCTGGCATGCTACCGGGCAGGGTTCAGGAGCCAGAGCACTCCAGCCAGGATAAGGGGCTGCTCGAAGCACTCATGGCTGTTTCATGCCAGCTGGCCTCAGTGCCAGAGACTGTTCCCAGGCACGTTCAATTTACTAGTATAGACAGAGCCTTTGAGGCATTCCCAGGTCAGGGCTGATAACCCAGGTATGCTTGATAGATCCATACTCAATGCTAATGAGTCGGTTCCTTTCTAATCATTCATGGCATTTAGTGAATAGACCAAATGCCTTGCAGGTTTCTGTTTTACAGATTATCAGTTGTTTCAAATATAAATGTAATTATCTATTTCAAATTCTCACCATCAATATCAGACCTTCATTATGAGAACTCTTCCACATTCAGAGCCAAGCAAAGGCGCTTGAATCCATGAACAGATGAAGGTCCTCCAATAAGTAACGTGATGCCCTAAAATGACACCAGTGTGTCACTCTACAGCAGAAAGCAGAAAGCTGTAGAGTGACACTCTGCAGAAAGCCCGATTTCTTCCTGTATCCTTCATAGTTCAAGATTCTCTGAGGTGTCCTACTCGCCAGCCAAGACTGATTGCAAATACCTCAAACACACATTAACTGAGCAGTGCCGGGCCTGAAAGTCACTTAATACTGTGGCCCTGACTCTTTTCAGCAAATAAACACCTCAAAGAAACTGTGACTTTCAGGGGGCAGCTGCAGGAATTTTAAAAGGTAGATTAGAAGGCTTCAGAAAACTTAATTCTTGCAGAAAGCAGCACTTCCTGCTACTGCCTTGCTTTTCTCTCTGCTAAACAAGCACTACAATTTCATTTCCAGGGCCAGGAACCCAGTTACACAAGTCACGCTGCACAGGCTTGCGATGGCAACTGAAACATCAGCATCCTCACCATGCTGTGCTGACCTGTGGACACCTCCTTCACTTTTACTTCCTCCTTCAGAGCTGTAAATGCGAAGGGATGAGATGGTAGGTAGTGAAATAACCCCAGCAAGAAAGGCCCTGTTTCTTTGCTCCAAAGCCATGGATGCACACATGAGGAAAATCCGCTTCTATGCAGGATGGTGCTTAGCAGACCTGAGCAACTGAACCTCCAAGGTGTGTGCATGAATTCCCCTGCTGATTGATTTTTAGATCTGGACAGTGGTCAGCAACACCTTAAGGCCAGAGAGGTGCAAAGCCAACAGAGAAAATCAGCAGCATTTAAAAATTTAGAAAAAAAAAAGGCCACCAAAAATATCCACAAAACACACCACTCTGTATACACATAAAAATATAAGTAAGCTGAAAAGATCAAAGAGTCGGGCTATATGCGTGCATTATATAGAAAAACTGGAATGTTTTACACACAGCCAGTATTTTTTGCCTGGAGAATAATTAGGAAGGATTTGAGATGCCTAATTCCGCTTCCAAGTCATATCAGCTAAACTGTACTGCAACCACCGACAAACTTGCATTTCCTGTTCTTAAATGTTTTGAGGCTCTTGAGTTTTAACTGCTGAACTTTGAGATAGAGATCATAGTAACAGCAGCACAACAGAACAAAGGGAAGGGAAGTGCAACTGAAGCAGAAGCTTAAACCAAACCAGTAAACGGCATGTTGTCGATGTGCTTTTATTAAGAGGACATGAAAAGGGCATTATAAGGGATTCAAAGCATTTGGGGGTGCGGAAGGATGGGAGGAAGAGACAACACTTAAAATAAATGCTCCATGGAGACAAAATCTCTAATAATTTATTGACCTTCAGTTTCACATTGTGAAAAAAAAAAGAAAAATGCAAGTTTTACAAAACCTTAAGATGTAGTAGCAAACAAAAAGACACAACGTAGACAACTTTAATTCTTCACTTACACAGTTTTCTTTTAGTACATGAACCACATCTTCAATAGCCAGGAAAGGGAACATTATTCTGCTCTAATCAGTCTTACTCAGACAGGTGTCAGACCTAGAGAAAAGGGGCTGCACAATTACACCAGAAGAGGAAGGCTGTCCTTTGTTGTATGTTTCTACAGCAACCAGCCTGAAAAATAAGAGGAACCTTCCCGTCTTATGCCAGGGTTTTCGTGTGCACTCCGCTGTGAACTGCATTTGCTTGAAAGCGTAGGGGTGTTCTGCAGGACTGGAATGGTCAAGTAACTAGCCAGGATTCCCCACATCAATTCAAAGACTAGGAGCCTAGTGTATTCCCTGCAGAGCCAGAGGCCCACCCTGACTTCAGCTTCCTTCAGCCTACACACAGGAATTAATTGAGGAGTTGAAAGCAGACCACAACTCTGGAAACAGCTGCAGAAGATTCATCCCACTTTCGGAAGCTGCACAGCGCTACAAAACAGATCCCATAAGCTAAGCAGTTAGACGCAGCGCAGCTTCACGTCTGGGCTCTAAGCAGCTTGGCGGAGAAAACAGGTCTCAAACCCATATGTCCTTATTCAAAATAAGGACACCCATGGGGACCCGGTTCTCCCCTTCCCTGTACCTTGTGCAGTCACTAGCGCCTGGGGAGAGGACATGCAAAACACCTAAGTCTGATTTTATGTCTCCTTTTGTGCCCCCGGGAGCGATCCACAAGATGAAAGGCAACAGCAATTCAAGGCTGTTTACTTCAACAGGGCAACCGTCACAAGTACAGGGATATATATAGAAAGGAGACCTACCCTATCTAAGATGATTTCCTATTGCTTAAAAGCCACCTAAAAGAACCAATGCAGAGCAGGGGAATTTTTTTTAATCTATCATTTCAAGAAATTGGTTTAACCAGAGGAAATATAGCTGTTCACATCTAGCTGGGCCTCACGCTTGAAAAGCTGCTAATGCCTTTGCTAGTTAATCAATATTCTCTCAGTATTCACAGAACTCCAAATACTCCGTTTCTGAAATGTAAGGGTCTACTCCAAACAGCAAATCAAACGTAAGGCAGCACAGAGAAACTTCCAGTGACCAGTGTAAATGCTTTCAGATGACAAAGCTTTCACAAATACAGCTACATCACTGTCACACAGAGAAAGGCAAGCATCACCAATGTGACTATTTTTGTTTTGCATGCATTCATGCAGCTGTTTACTTACCACACCAACCATGTTACTGAATGTGCCAGTTAAATTGGGCTCCAGAAACATTTAGAAAAAAACACAATACAATACATGCTTCATGACAGGATCTGGCAAAGAAAGCATCTGTGAAACATAAGCTTCTGAAATCCAGAAGAAAAAGAGTAGCTTCATCTCTGTCTCAAGACCAGACTGATAAGAAACAAGTTTTTGTAAAAAATCAGAAGTTCAGTTTCTCAGGATTGTATCTGACGCTTCTGAGCAACCAAGTGCTTAAAAGACACACCTGGCTAAGGAAAATAAAAGGCAGCAGAGTTTGAGGGCTATATATAAAGATAAAGAGGTTTGAAATTCATTTTTATATCCCCATAAACATTTTGCTAGAGCTCTTGGCTCTTTGACACCTGGGCACTCAGATGATCATCTGAAATCCAGGTGGATGAGGCAATCCACTCAGTGCAAAAATTGCTGCTCCTCTTTTTTCTTCTTCTTTTTTTTCTTTGTGTTGTTGTTGTTTTTAAGACTTCATCACTAACCTATGTTGAGGTTTCTTGTTTTTATTCTTGAATCACCATATTCCACTCATTCAGGTCAATGCCGCAATATTGTAGGTACCCCTCCTCCAATCCAATAAATAAATAAATAACTTTGGACAATGACTTCATCTGGGCTTGGTGGTATCCAGAAGCTCTTCCACAGTATTTGTGTTGCAATCAGGAAGCTGCACAAAGAGAGAGCTGCAAGAGATTTTGGTTACTTCCAGATTAGAAACTGAAAGGCATGACCAACAAATGAAATGTAGCAAGGACACCATCTACAAGACACACCACATGCAACCTGGGTAGCTGGTGGCCTGAGAAAGTGACCTCCATGGCTTCTTCCTTTAGTATGGGTGTAATTTAAGATCCTGCCTTACAATCCCTCCATTTCCGACTGGGAAACCACCCTTCCCTCCCACCTCCAATTGCTACCAAACTGTTTTCTTTCTTTGTGCAGCAGAGCAAGTCAGCTATCACAAAATGTGCAAAACCTACAACAATTCACACAAGCCCTTGCAATATGAAGACAATTGCAGGCATTGTTTCAGCATGCAAGCACTGAACAATAAATAACTATATCTACAACAGGTAACATAACAGGAATGGAACAGTTTGAATTACTTATAAATACAGGGAGGAAAGGGAAAAGGGAGCATTTTGGGGATGTCATTTTTGGTCCCCACTGCTGCAAAAATAATTCACCACTAGGCCATTTGTTATCAAGCAGAAGGTCACTCACTGCACACAGGACAATGCAACATGGGATATAAGAGATGCTGCAGGCGCTGCCCACAGACAAGGACACCCCAGCTAGCAGAGTTCAGCAGCAATACCACTGTATCTTCATTCACAGCAGCATCTTGTTGTTTCAGGTCTCGGCTGCTTCCTCTGCAGCTGGTGCTGGCACTTCAAACCCCTCCAAAGAGAGGTGACAACCATTTCAAATTTCACATATAAGCAGTGGAGTCCATGGAAATCTAGCGTTGTGTGCTGCACAGCTCAGAAGTTGTGTCTCTTTTCTTCCGCCTTTGAAGGACTGATTAATGTTGGCATTAATCCACAATTACTAGCACAAGGACAAGAACATAGGTTCATCCATTCATAGTTAAACCACGCTGAAGCACTGAAGACAGGTTTTTTTCCTCCCATTCCTTCATGTCTAGGTTAGGTAATTTACAAGGTGCGGATGATTTTCTTCAAATGCAAGAGATGCTGAACGATTTTTCTTCATTAAAACCATTTCTCCAGATCTGAGGTTCCAATTCTCTTGTCCAAATAAAGGAGTAAACTAAAAGCATGGAAAGGGGGGGGGTGGGGTGGGGTGTGCAGGAGAGGGAAGAGAGAGATTAGGAGAGACAGAAAAAAACCCCAAGTTAAATATTTAAAGGGTTTTGCCAAGACAATGTACCATAAGGTTTTTGTTAGATGTCAAAGAAAACCTAAAAGCTAGGCTTAGGATACAATCCAGTTGATGGGCTTCCCCACCTCACCGCCATCTCAATGTTCCTGTGTAACAGCCAACTACTGATAAATAAGACTGCCAAGAACATAATTTTTTAGGGTAACATTCTGCCTTTACTGTTCTACTAGCCTTATTCTGCAAACCATCCTACTGACGCCACAAAAGTTGTTTAATTTTTTTGTTTTAAATCCAGTCATTTGAAATCATACTGTCTCAATACAGTTTAACGCAATGGGCTCTGCATCCTGCATACTTCAACATTTCTATGTTTCCTCAAAATGGTAAGGGTTTGTGGATTTAAGTGAACATAACCTTTGCAACTTCCCTTCCTCAAAAGCCCAGATGAAGACTTAGTGCAAAGAATTCTTGCCATCCCTGGGCCAAGGCAAACCTGGCTGGAGAAGGGGAGGTGAAGGTGTCTCACCCAAACACCTTCATTCACCATGACGAATTCTGAATTTATTCATAGTACAGAAAGGGACATATAATCCCCTTACTTAAGAGCAGAAGTCTGCCTCATTTCACACAGCAATGCACCATGCATCAATAATTCCACCCTAGAGACTTCTATAAAAATTGATTATTCAATTAAATAGTCAGCCTTTGGATGCTGAGATTGTGCTCTGCTTTTTCACTATGAAGCTGTATTAAGATGCCAGCTTCCAAACCATCACAGTCACTTCTGTCAGCACTGCTAGAATTTTAGGAAGCAAATCCTACATCATTACAACGCAAAGGAGCTCCAGTGAACTTTCTGTTCGCAGCACAGCTTGAGGGAGATGTGGTAAGACCAACAGGGAACGCCCACAAGAAACACTGCAGCCTACAGAGCAGCCCAAAGCATCAAGCCTCTTTGCAACTGTGGGCCTATCTTGATTATGCCTAAAAAAAGAGGTCTCTGCAGTTAGTGTCGATTAGTCTTTTCTAGACATTCTTCAGGGTAGCGTGTCATTCTCACCGCTGAAACACACATATCAACAGTGAAGCCAAAACAATGTTCCTTGCCACAGGATGAACTTTAAAAAATTATAAACAATTTCAAAACAGGGCGGGGGGGGGAAATCCCCAACCTACTCAAAAGCCCCAAGTCTGAGGAACAGGACAAAACAGACTGAAGTCTTCCTAAAAGCTGTCAGACTGGGGCCACACAGCGCCATGAAAACAGAGGGTAATCAGAAGTAATTTCCTTTCTGTCCCTCCCACCCACTGACAAAGCAGCAGGAGTCAGTAGAGAAAAAGAGCCCTACTTGCTGGATGAGCACACAGCATTGGAGAGATTTCAGTCTATGGTTGTGTTCATCTTGTGTGTTACTTAAGCCAGTTATTTTGTGTGTTAGTGAAGCTAAATTAATGGCTTTCAACAAGATACTGCAGAGCAAAGGAAAGAATATAACGGTGCAAAAAGCTAAAGGACTCTTTCAAAATAAAACACTCCCTCTCATGTACTGTAAACTTCAGAACAATTAAGCCAGTCTCAGAAGAATAAATCAATATTTTTCTTGGCACAGACCTGAGTCCAGGCATTCAATACTACTGCTCTGATAACACTGAGAACTGCTGAAAGTCAGTAATAGAAATTAAATGAAGATGTCAAGGCATTGTTCCCATGTTCCCAGCGAGTGAGGAAGCCACCGCACAGAAACTGAGGCTTCCATTTGCTGGCTGCCGGGGGTGCAATTACTTCCAGCACCCAGGATCTGCTACATTTTGAGGGTTTGTCCCGCTTTCCCAAGAGTAAGTCTGGGAAAAACAAAAGCAAGGAGAGCAGAGAGGGCAGTGTCTTCAAGACAACAGCACCCCCTCTCCCCCTGCCCCCCAGACAAAAGCAGCTGATAGCACAACACAACCCAATTTCACACTAGATTCCCACACTGACCTGCTGCTTTGGATGGGCCCAACCATGTATTCTTTACTCAGTCAAAGCTCCCAGTTGGCCAAAAGAGAACTGCAAGATGTATCTTCAGCATACCACACAAAGGAATTTTGCAACTACCCTACGTTTGTAGGTATATAATTCTATCTACACTGCTTCAAAGACATTCAGGTTTCGTCTTTACTGCAAGAGTCTGACAAATGTCTCTGGTTTCAAAAAACACCAGAAAAAAACAACATGATCTGTCCCAAACAGAAGAACTCAGGGAAATTTTTATACACAAGCTGTTCTTCCTATTTTCTGGAGAACCTCCATCAGTCTGGACTTCTAGGAAACTTAGATGCAAATGCAGAGCTTGTTTAACTACTGCTCCTTCTAACTTGCCTGCCTTCATGGTTACACTGTAGAGTGTTCAAATCCCAAAAGAAATTACCACTCACAAGGCACAGATTATTTAGGATTAAGCATGCCACTATGTTTGCTTGACTGGCTGGTGGTATCAGTGATTCTGTACTGAAGTCTCTAGGGGAGAGTGGGGGAAAAAGCTGCACAACATTAAAGGGAGTCTGCCAGATTTGTTGCAAAATACACAGATTAATAGTTCTGGAAGAGGTCAATGACATTTTAAGTGGTGTAATACTAGAAAATACGAAAATGAGGAAGAACTAGTAATAGCTGAAGCAACAGTTAGTAGTTAGCATGAAAAAAACAGATTTGAAAAATATTGGCCACATGTAGACCAGAATTTTTAGTAGCTTTTTGTGGGGTTTTTTGGGGTGTGATTTTTTTCTTTTTAATATGAACATTTTCTCCTCTCCTCCTAAACACCAGAAATTCACAACAACCAAACAAGCAAGGCCAAATTAAGACTTGCTTGTGAGAAGATACAATGCTGAAGTTGCATCTGGTAAAAGCTTGGCCCATTATATATAATTAAGTTGTTTTGGAACAGTGCGTGTTATAGACTGGTAATTATTTCAGCCAGCAATATTAATTATATGTCTTCCTGACACTATATCTAGTCCAACTTATATGACCATAACTATTTTGAAAAAATCTCTATTTTAAAGTATATCAGTGGAGCCAAAGCAACCTTAGTTCATGCAGGTGCAACCATGCTGTCTAGGTGAGATGGAAAATTTGGCCTGAAGTGCCTGTAAAACACCTTTCGTAAGACAGCAAGTTTTCCCAAAGGCTGTCTGCACGGAGGAAGCATGCTGTCTGCCTGGAAATTCAAGTGAATCCACTATCAGGTTTCAGATCAGAATTTGCAGCATCTTTTTGGGCCTGTTACTGGATATACCTGGAGCCTCTGTCTCCAGGAAAAAGGCACTGAGCCCTTCTTCAGCATGCACTTAGTAAATCAGTGCAGAGCAGGATTCAATTTCCAGAAGATTAGCTGCATTTCCCCACAAGTTGTAAAGGCCTGAGCAAAAATAATGCTTTCATCTAAATCATGCAAGAAAAGGCCCCATAAAGAGAACTGGGTGCAAGATACGTGGCAAACTACTTCCAGCCTCTGGCTTTGTCACTGATGTGGTGCTTGGCTTACAACAGCCCATAAATGTACGTGTCTCAGCTGCTCCAGCTGCAAAACGGGATTGAATATACTCACCCTCCTCAGAGCTGCTGCTGAACAGCTTTATGAAAAGCATTACTACAGTGGAATTCAAAAGTGTCATTTCTTACCTGATAATTTGTAATTGCAACGTACACACAATTACGAGGGGAGGTGCTTCCATGTGCTGACAAATGCTGTGGGAATTAACGAATAGGGCACAGTTGTTACGCTGTTCCATACATCTAACGTGGGGTCGTAGCAGTCCAACGTTTTGCACCTCTGAATGCCGAAGTAGCCTCCAACCACGTACAATTTGTTTCCAGATGCCACTGCGTGGCAGCTCATTCGCTTAGCTGTCACATCTCCCACCTTAGTCCACTGGTACGTCTCACTGTTGAATTTATAAGCGGAGCACGCAGAGAATTCGGTATCTCCACCCATAATAAAAATCTGGTTACCCAGAACAGCTGCAGCTGTGTAGCGCCAGGGCTGGGGGCAGGTGGCTGGTACCGTCCATCTGTTTTCACACTGATCGTAGCACTGAACTTTGGGCAGCTTGTCATGGCTAACGCTGGTACCTCCAAAAGCGAACAGCTTCAGCTTTGCGCTGACTACAGCTGCATTGCTTACTCCCTCTCGCAGTGGGGCAACCATGGTCCATTTGTTGGTCACGGGGTCGTATTGTTCTACTTGCTTTAAGGATACTGAAGGGGAAGCTGGAAGGCAACCAGTTGCTGCGGTGTGTCCTCCTACTACATACAAACAGTGCTTGAGTTCAGCAGAGCCATGCCCAAACCTAGCCACCAGCATGGGAGCAGCCTTCGACCACTCCTCATGAAGGGTGTCATACACCCACACATCTTTGGAGACTCCATTTTCTGACCCTCGTCCCCCAGTGATATACACTTTGCAGCCTATGGCACAAGCGCTGAACTCCTTCCGTGGACTTGGTATGTCAGCCTTTGGAATGATCTCTTTTGCCTTTTGGTCCACCAGGTACAGCTTGTCACACATAAAGGTCTGGCCACCCAAAAGAAAAAGAGAGTGGCCAGTTTTACGGGGTCTGGCACACAAACTAGTGACTACCCCATCATTCTGCAAGATCTTTAACTTGCATCTTATGGACTCTTCTACAATCTCTTTGCTTTTCCTTTGCTTGGTGATAAGTTCTTCCATGGCCACATTCTCCATAAGGTATATGGCTGGCAAGAGGGCCAATCTCACTGTCTGCAATAGCTCGGGCAGGTAACAGTGACGCTTACTCAGGTCATAGTTGACCCAGTTGATAGCAGATTCATACACGAGCCTTTCGTCTTCGGTTTCTAATTCTTCACTGGAAAGGAGCTGCACTACCATGTCTTTCGGCAGCTGGAGGAAGTCCTCGCTTTTACTGATGCTCTGGAAGTTGCTAAGGCACATCCTCCAGGAGAGTTCGTACAGCTTGGTGCACTGGTGAGCGTCCGACAGCAGCAGCATGCCGAGACAGTTGGTGGGATGAAGGTTTTTCTCCAGAAATTCTGCACAAGCATCCCGAATGTCCTGGAACTCCAGCATGTCACCAGCCTCTAGCAGCGACTCTGCGTTCTCCTCGTTGATGATAACCCTGGAGGAATATGCATAGTCCAGAAGAAGCTCCAGGACTTCCGGGTGAATCGAATTATGAAAGTTAACTTCGCTGTCCTGGCTCTCCTTCAATCCTCCACTGAACATTGCTTCAAAATAGCGGCTACAAGCAGCTAGAACAGCTCTGTGGCAGGGGAATGACCTGTTCCCAGCATGGAGAAGTACATCTGTAAAGAGACGCTGCTGACGCAGAAGGTTCAGGTGAGTAAGGACACTATCAGCATAGGATGACTTGTGGAACAAGTATATGTTTATGGAGCCAGTACTGGCCCTAGATTTGCGATTTTCATGCATGCTGACTGACATTTTCTTTCACACCTATAAACAAAGAAAAAAAATTGATAAGATTAATGAGACAGTTACATTCATTATTGGTTTTACATATCAAATGTTGTACCTATTATTCACTATAACATGGGACAAAAAGCCTTAATTTATAGATAGCACTGCATCTACCTTTGGCATGTGTTTATTTTTTTGTAAGAAGAGTTTCATATATGACATACTCTAAATCTGTTGCCCAAGAGCAGGTTTATCTTGGGAAACCTGATCTCCAACTTTCATAGCAATACAGTAAGCAAGTAAGTCGGAGGAGAGAGAAAAGGAACCAGGACAGATTTTCTCACCCTTCCCCAATCTAGACCAGCTGATTCATTACATATGTACACATGCACATGCTTGAAACATTCTCCTATACTGAATCATAGCAGGAAGAGCTACCAGACAGAATACCTAAGGAATGTCAAAAGCTGTACAGGGAACAAAAACCTACTAATCCCATTAGGAAGCTTCCCTTTGGTATAATGATTCCATATGCAACAGTAGAGAATGAAAAAAAGGGAGCTTTAACATAAAAACCTAGCAATGATCATAAATTTACACTTGTGAAACCTTTAAAAAAATATGAGTGAATTTTAGAGATAACATCTTGAACTTTGCCAGCGACCGTCTGCTGTAGTGATACAGCATATACACAGGCAGAGGCAGCAGGAAAATGGGTTTTAACTGTTAGC